TGGGGACCCTTTGTGTTTTTTTTTCTGAAGTAATTTGAAACAATCTCCGGTACCCCTTGTGCTTTTTTGTAAGTAATTTGAAAGAATCTCGGGGGTTTCTCGTGTTTTGTATTTGAAGTAATTTGAAAGAATCTCGGGTATCCCACGTGGATCTTGTTTCTGAGGTAATTTGAAAGAATCTCGAGCACCTCTAATGTTTTATTTCTGAAGTAGTTTTGAAAGAATCTCTGGGATCTTTCGTGTTTTGTTTTTCAAGTAGTTTGAAAGAATCTTGGGGACCACTTGTGTTTCTTTTTAAAGTAATTTGAAAAAATCTCGCGGGTTTCTCGTGTTTTGTCTTTGAAGTAGTTTGAAAGAATCTCGGGTATCCCATGTGGATCTTGTTTCTGAGGTAATTTGAAAGAATCTCGAGCACCTCTAATGTTTGATTTTTGAAGTAGTTTTGAAAGAATCTCTGGGATCTTTCGTGTTTTGTTTTTCAAGTAGTTTGAAAGAATCTTGGGGACCACTTGTGTTTCTTTTTTAAGTAATTTGAAAGAATCTCAGGGTCCCTCGTGTTTTGTTTTTAAAGTAGTTCGAAAGAATCTCGGGTATCCCATGTGGGTCTTGTTTCTGGGGTAATTTGAAAGAATCTCGAGGACCTCTAATGTTTTATTTTTGAAGTAGTTTTGAAAGAATCTTAGGGACTCTGTGTGGGTCGTGTTTTTGAAGTAGTTTGAAAGAATTTCGGGGATTCCATGTGGGTCTTGTTTCTGAAGTAATTTGGAAGAATCTTGAGATAATTTGAAAGAATCTTGGGGACCCTTTGTGTTTTTTTTTCTGAAGTAATTTGAAACAATCTCCGGTACCCCTTGTGCTTTTTTGTAAGTAATTTGAAAGAATCTCGGGGGTTTCTCGTGTTTTGTATTTGAAGTAATTTGAAAGAATCTCGGGTATCCCACGTGGATCTTGTTTCTGAGGTAATTTGAAAGAATCTCGAGCACCTCTAATGTTTTATTTCTGAAGTAGTTTTGAAAGAATCTCTGGGATCTTTCGTGTTTTGTTTTTCAAGTAGTTTGAAAGAATCTTGGGGACTACTTGTGTTTCTTTTTTAAGTAATTTGCAAGAATCTCAGGGGTCCCTCGTGTTTTGTTTTTAAAGTAGTTCGAAAGAATCTCGGGTATCCCATGTGCGTCTTGTTTCTGGGGTAATTTGAAAGAATCCCGAGGACCTCTAATGTTTTATTTTTGAAGTAGTTTTGAAAGAATATTAGGGACTCTCTGTGGGTCGTGTTTTTGAAGTAGTTTGAAAGAATCTCGGGGATTCCATGTGGGTCTTGTTTCTGAAGTAATTTGGAAGAATCTTGCGGTAATTTGAAAGAATCTCGGGGACCCTTTGTGTTTTTTTTCTGAAGTAATTTGAAACAATCTCAGGGACCTCTTGTGCTTTTTTGTAAGTAATTTGAAAGAATCTCGGGGGTTTCTCGTGTTTTGTCTTTGAAGTAATTTGAAAGAATCTCGGGTATCCCATGTGGATCTTGTTCCTGAGGTAATTTGAAAGAATCTCGAACACCTCTAATGTTTTATTTTTGAAGTAGTTTTGAAAGAATATTAGGGACTCTCTGTGGGTCGTGTTTTTGAGGTAGTTTGAAAGAATCTCGGGGATTCCATGTGGGTCTTGTTTCTAAAGTAATTTGGAAGAATGTTGAGGTAATTTGAAAAAATCTCGGGGACCCTTTGTGTTTTTTTTCTGAAGTAATTTGAAACAATCTCAGGGACCCCTTGTGCTTTTTTGTGAGTAATTTGAAAGAATCTCGGGGGTTTCTCGTATTTTGTCTTTGAAGTAATTTGAAAGAATCTCGGGTATCCCACGTGGATCTTGTTTCTGAGGTAATTTGAAAGAATCTTGAGCACCTCTAATGTTTTATTTTTGAAGTAGTTTTGAAAGAATCTCGGGGATCTTTCGTCTTTTGTTTTTCAAGTAGTTTGAAAGAATCTTGGGGACTACTTGTGTTTCTTTTTTAAGTAATTTGCAAGAATCTCAGGGGTCCCTCGTGTTTTGTTTTTAAAGTAGTTCGAAAGAATCTCGGGTATCCCATGTGCGTCTTGTTTCTGGGGTAATTTGAAAGAATCCCGAGGACCTCTAATGTTTTATTTTTGAAGTAGTTTTGAAAGAATATTAGGGACTCTCTGTGGGTCGTGTTTTTGAAGTAGTTTGAAAGAATCTCAGGGATTCCATGTGGGTCTTGTTTCTGAAGTAATTTGGAAGAATCTTGCGGTAATTTGAAAGAATCTCGGGGACCCTTTGTGTTTTTTTTTTCTGAAGTAATTTGAAACAATCTCGGGGACCCCTTGTGCTTTTTTCTAAGTAATTTGAAAGAATCTCGGGGGTTTCCCGTGTTTTGTCTTTGAAGTAATTTGAAAGAATCTCGCGTATCCCACGTGGATCTTGTTTCTGAGGTAATTTGAAAGAATCTCGAGCACCTCTAATGTTTTATTTTTGAAGTAGTTTTGAAAGAATATTAGGGACTCTCTGCGGGTCGTGTTTTTGAAGTAGTTTGAAAGAATCTCGGGGATTCCATGTGGGTCTTGTTTCTGAAGTAATTTGGAAGAATCTTGAGGTAATTTGAAAGAATCTCGGAGACCCTTTGTGTTTTTTTTTTCTGAAGTAATTTGAAACAATCTAAGGGACCCCTTGTGCTTTTTTGTAAGCAATTTGAAAGAATCTCGGGGGTTTCTCGTGTTTTGTTTTTGAAGTAGTTTGAAAAAATCTCGGGGATCCCATGTGGATCTTGTTTCTGAGATAATTTGAAAGAATCTCGAGGACTTCTAATGTTTTATTTTTGAAGTAGTTTTGAAAGAATCTCAGGGACACTCTATGTGTCTATGTGTCTTATTTTTGAGACAATTTGAAAGAATCTCGGGCATCTCTTGTGTAGAAGAAATGCGGAGGATTTAAATTGATTACTACAAAAATTTGCCATTTTAGACATGTTTTGAGTTTTTTGTTGTTCAAATAGGTCTGCACATATTAAGAAAAAAAGGCAAAATGTAGCCCCGCCCACCCGCCCTATCTCACTGATGATTTTTTTTTATTTGTCTTGAGCCAGACTATAAGGAATAACATCATTACAACTGAGAAGGCGGTGGGTAGGCAGGGCTTAAATTTTGCTTTTTTTCTAGATGTATATAATGATCTTTTCCCGACAAGATATTTAAAACGTTTGCAATGGTAAATTTTTGTTTTGTTAAACATCGATTTTACAATGAATGAAAAATTCATCACATTTGAGATTCGGGTGGGTGGGCGGGGCTTACTTTTTGATTTCTCTTTTCTTGACATATATAGTCTTCTTTCAACCACATGATACTTAAAAACATGTTTCACATGGTAGTTTCTTGTAGAGAAATAAGGATTTTGCAATTAAGCTCCGCCTCTCGGGTCACGACGAATAAAAATACATAGTTATCACAATTGAGAAAGGGGTAGGTGGGCGGGATTTGTATTATGCCTTCTTTTTTCTAATATGTGTTCATAGTTTTCTTTTCACGACAATAAATTGAAAACATGTTTAAAAAGGTAAATTTCTAGAGAACTGTTGAGGATAAAATTTACCATTTTAAGCATGTTTCAGTCTTTTGTTGTGAAGGGAAGACTATGTATATTAAGAAAAAAAAAAAAATGGAAAATATAAACCCCGCCCACGCACCCTGTCTCATTTGTAACGATTTTTATTTGTTTATCGTGAGTCAAAGAGGGTGGAGCTTAATTACAAAATCCGTATTTTTCTACAAGAATTACCATGTGAAACCTGTTCTTCAGTGATGGTATTGCTCAAAGAAAACTATATGTATTAAGCAAAAAAGCTAAAAGATAAGCCCCACCTATCCGTCAGGATTTCAATAGTGATGAATTTTCCATTGGTTGTCAAACAGAGAGGCGGAGCGTAACTGCAAAATCCATATTTCCTGTTTTAAACATGTTTTCAGTTTCTTGTTGTGAAAAGAAGACTGCATACAGTAAGAAAAAAAGGAAAAGTATAAGCCCCACCCGCCCGCCCTATCTCAATTGTGGTGATTTTTTTTATTCGTCGTGAGCCAATAGGGCGGAGCTTAATTGCAAAATCTTTGTTTCTCTACAAAAAATTACCATGTAAAACATCTTTTGTTATTGTTGACATACCTAGTAGGGGGGAAAGGGTTACGCAGACTCCTTAATCACAAAATGATCTATTTTGAACAATATGATAATACTTAAAATATGTTTTGATGAAAAATTCATCACAACTGAGATAAGGGTGGGTGGGCGGGCCTTAATTTTTGACTTCTATTTTCTTAACATATATAGTTTTTTTAACAATATGATACTTAAAAACATGTTTCTTGTGGCGAAATAAGGATTTTGCAATTATGCTCCGCCTCTCGAATCACGACGAATAAAAACAGTCATCACAATCGAGAAAGGGGTGGGTGGGCGGGGTTTGTATTATGCCTTTGTTTTCTAATATGTGTACATAGTTTTCTTTTCACGACAAGGGTAAATTTCTAGAGAAGTGTTGGGTATAAAATTTACCATTTTAAGCATGTTTCAGTTTTTTGTTGTGAAGGGAAGACTATATATATTGAGAAAAAAAAAATGCAAATTGTAAAAATTATAAATTTTATCCAAATTGATGTACGAGTCCCTTTTTTTCTATTTCGAATTTTGAAATCACAAACGAAACTGTATAAAATGCATTTATAAATCTGAGGTAATTTTAGTGATCGTTGATAGGCGAAAAATATTATTAAAATAATTTGTATAAATTTTTACCAAGTGAATTTGCACTTTTTGATTTTTTTTTTTTCAATGTATTGTAGTTTGAAGAGATTCTTTGTTTAATTCATGTTTATTCAAATTTATCAGAAAACAAGAAATTTGATGACACTAATATCTTACTTTTATACTGAAAAAATCACAAAAATTTTTTGGCTGTCTTTGAGCATATCTCAATTTTTTGAGGAATTTAATAATATACAACATTATTAAAACAAATTATATTAAAAATTTATACAAAATCATACATAATTCTTCAAAATTCGCTAGTTACTCAAAGAATTACAGGTTAGTAAAATTAATTTGACCAATGAAATTTCACATCAAATTTATAAAAACGCTTAATTAAAATTTAGCACGAAGACATGATCAACAAATATCTATCAGGACACACCACCAACAATTCGTAAACATTAACGGGTCGCTCCACCCCTCTGAACGGGAACCAAAGCTGCACGTTCCCTTTCCTGCTGGGGAACGGGGTGACAGCCCCCACTAAAACGTACCCTTGGTAGAAAACCCGACCGACCAGTAGCACCCCATTATCGCCCAAATAATCGTAGCCACCGACCACGACTTCCAAGTTTTCGGTGTCTTGTTCGAAGGTCTTAGCCGTGGTGGTAATCCATGACAGTAGTCTGGTGTTTTCGGCACACAGAACCTATATGATTTCGTTGATGTTTAATCTTCACTCAAAAAGTGATTGATTACCTTTATATCAGTTAGTATTCTCTTGGCGCCGTAGGAAGGAACATCCACTTCTTTCACTCCTGGGTAAATTTGGGCGATCATTAAACCGTAGCCTTCGGAGTAGGCTTGACCGATGTAGGTGATTTGACCGTTGGCGTCTCTCCCTCCTGGAACAGCGTCTGGGGGGACGACGCCAGTGTACTCCCTCCAGTAGTACAAGTCTGGAAGGGCAGATCGTAAAATATAAACAACGAACTTATATCAACAAACCAGAAGCCCTAATTCCTCTAAGAATTAGTATCAAGCTAATAAAACAAGCCGCGATTCTTTCTTTGTCCATTTTGAGACTGCCGCCGATAAGCACAAATTGGGTCAAAAAGCACAACTTCAATATTTATTCTTCTTATCACAAATGTGTCTTTATTATAATAATAATATTTGCAATTACGCATTTACAATGTTTATTTATTCGAATCAATAAGCATACACAAGGACTTCGTATTGCTCTTCTGTGACTATCACAGTACCATCGACGTACATTATTTTGGCATCTTCCACCATCCCTCTAATGGGACCTATTTTAATTCCGCCGTTCCTCCTAACGCGGCCTATGTACATCATCCCGTTGGTAGCATCCTTGTGGTCGAACCCTCCAACCAGGGGGTATCTCCGTATCATATCAACGTGAAAATGCTTGTTGTTGCTTGCCACCCACGTCAAGTTTTTCGGGTTTTTGGAGCACAGAATTTTGATAACTCTGTCAGTTTTTTGCAGACTGAGACCTATGAAGCCGTAACCCACGGCCACCACGTCCTTACTATCGTCAAAAATTTGCACCACGAAAATTCCTTGTCCGTGGAGGTAGGCTTGACCTATGTAGGAGGAGTCGGATCCTGAAGGAACGGCGTCCGAAGGAATATTGTTGTTGTATTCTCTCCAATAGTAAGCTAGAAAGAGAATTTAACGAAAGGTGCGAAATATTAAGAAATTTACCTCTTTCGATTGATAGCGGTGGAATGGTCGATGTACCGATGGAAAAAAAGAAAATTATAATCGTAAGTCGTTGCATAATTGCGCGAAATCAGAAACGGTGTTGACGGGTCTACGATGATAAAATTTATTTGTTGGTAATTGATACGAAATGGAAAGAATGGTATCTATTGCGTTTAGATAAGAATGTAAAGAGAGGCGTTGGTGTATATTATGCGTAGATAACTTCACTGAATGTAGGTATAGCCTTGCCTTTATCAATGCATTCATATTTTTGAAGCAATAATTGTGAATCCGTTTCATAAGACACATTTCTGCAATTTTTTCTAATATTTCAAGTTGTCTCAAAAACACGACTCATAGAGGGTTCCTAAGATTCTTTCAAAGCTACTTCAAAAATAAAACATTTGAGGTTTTTTAATTTTTCGATTTTTAAAATTTTTGATTCTTCAGTAAAACGATTTTTTAATTTTTCGGTTTTTCGGTCCTTTTTTTTCATAATATACGTAGCCATCTTTTCACAACAAAAATTGAAAATATGATTAAAATGGTACATTTTTGACAGGAAATATGGATTTTGCAACTATGGGTCGGAGCGTAATTGCAAAATCGATATTTCCTGATACAAATTTTCCATTTTAAACATGTTTTAAGTTCCATGTTGTGAAAAAAGTCCACACATATCGAAACAAAAAGGCAAAAAGTAAGCCCGCCCACCCGCCCCATCTCAATTGTGACGATTTTTTTTATTCTTGGAAACTTAAAACAGGTTTAAAATGGTAAATTTTGTAGAGAAATATAGATTTTGCAATTAGGCTCCGCCTCTAAGTCTGGTGACGAATGAAAAGTTCATTACTACATATTTAGATCAGGGCAGGTATGGGTGGGGCTTAATCTTTGGTTTTAATTTTTTGTTTGAACACCACGGTACTCAAAACCATGTTTTAATTTCTCGTATTGAAATAAGGATTTTTCAGTTAAGATCCGCCCTCTTGGCTCACGACGAATAAAAAAAAATCACCACAATAGAGATAGGGTGGGCGGGTGGGGCTTATAATTTGCCTTTGTTTCTTAATATTTAGTAATTTAGCTCCGCCCCTTTGGCTCACAATGAACAAAGAAAAGTCGTTACAAATGAGATAGGGTGGGTGGGCGGGGCTACATTTTGACAACAAAAAACTGAAACATGTTTAAAATGGTAAATTTTATTCCCAACACATCTCTAGAAGTTTAGCTTTTTAAACATGTTTTCAGTTTATTGTCGTGACAAGAAAACTATGTACACATATTAGAAAACAGAAGGCATAATACAAACCCCGCCCACCCGCCCCTTTCTCGATTGTGATGACTGTTTTTGTTCGTCGTGAGCCGAGAGGCGGAGCTTAATTGCAAAATCCTTATTGCGCCACAAGAAACATGCTGTTAAGTATCATGTCGTTCAAAGAAAACTATATATATTAAGAAAAAAGAAATAAAAATGAAGCCCCGCCCACCCACCCTTATCTTAATTGTGATGAATTTTTCAACAAAACATGTTTTAAGTATGATCATATTGTTCAAAATATGTATGTAGATCATTTTGAGATAAAGAAGGCTGTGTAACCCTCTCTCCCCTACTATGTAAACAATAACAAAAGATGTTTCACATGGTAATTTTTTGTAGAGAAACAGAGATTTTGCAATTAAGCTCCGCCCTCTTGGCTCACGGCGAATAAAAAAAATCACCACAATTGAGATAGGGTGGGCGGGTGGGGATTATACTTTGCCTCTTTTTCTTACTGTATGCAGTCTTCTGTTCATAACAAGAAACTGAAAACATGTTTAAAACAGGAAATATGAATTTTGCAGTTACGCTCCGCCTCTCTGTTTGACAACCAATGGAAAATTCATCACGATTGTGATCTAGACGGGTAGGTGGGGCTTATCTTTTAGCTTTTTTGCTTAATACATATAGTTTTCTTTGAGCAGTACAATCACGGAAGAACATGGTAATTCTTATAAAAAATATGGACTTCGCAATTTAGCTCCGCCCCTTTGGCTTACAATGAGCAAATAAAAATCGTTACAAATGAGACAGGGTGGGTGGGCGGGGTTTATATTTTTTATTTTGTTTTCTTAATATACGTAGTCTTTCCTTCATAACAAAAAACTGAAACATCCTTATAATGGTAAATTTTATTCCCAACACTTCTCTAGAAATTTACCCTTTTAAACATGTTTTCAATTTATTGTCGTGAAAAGAAAACTATGAACACATTAGAAAAAAGAAGGTATAATACAAACCCCGCCCACCCGCCCTTTTCTCGATTGTGATGACTGTTTTTATTCGTCGTGAGCCGAGAGGCGGAGCTTAATTGCAAAATCCTTATTTCGCCACAAGAAACATGTTTTTAAGTATCATGTTGTTGAAAGAAAACTATACATGTTAAGAAAAAAGAAGTCAAAAATGAAGCCCCGCCCACCCACCCTTATCTTAGTTGTGATGAATTTTTCAACAAAACTGTTTTAAGCATTATGATATTGTCCAAAATATGTAGATCACTTTGAGATAAAGAAGACTATGTAACCCTCTCTCCTCTACTATGTCAACAATCACAAAAGATGTTCACATGGTAATTTTTTGTAGAGAAACAAAGATTTTGCAATTAGGTAAGCTCCGCCCTCTTGGCTCACGACGAATGAAAAAAATCACCACAACTGAGATAGGGTGGGCGGGTGGGGCTTATACTTTGCCTGTTTTTCTTACTGTATGTAGTCTTCTTTTCACAACAAGAAACTGAAAACATGTTTAAAACAGGAAATATGGATTTTGCAGTTACGCACCGCCTCTCTGTTTGACAACCAATGACAATCACTATTGAGATCTAGATGGGTAGGTGGGGCTTATCTTTTAGCTTTTTTGTTTAATACATATAGTTTTCTTTGAGCAATACGATCACGGAAGAACATGTTTCACATGGTAATTCTTATAGAAAAATACGGATTTTGTAATTAAGCTCCGCCCTCTTTGGCTCACGATGAACAAATAAAAATAGTTACAAATGAGACAGGGTGGGTGGGCGGGATTTATAATTTGCATTTGTTTTTCTGAATATTCATAGTCTTCCCTTCACAACAAAAGACTGAAATATGCTTAAAATGCTAAATTTTATCGCCAACACTTCTTTAGAAATTTACCCTTTTAAACATGTTTTCAATTTATTGTCGTTAAAAGAAACTACAAAGCCCACCCACCCGCCCCTTTCTCGATTGTGAGGACTGTTTTTATTCGTCGTGAGCGTAGAGGCGGAGCTTAATTGCAAAATCGTTATTTCTCCACAAGAGACTGCCATGTGAAACATGTTTTTAAGTATCATGTTGTTGAAAGAAAGCTATACACGTCAAGAAAAAGGAATTCAAAAATTAAGCCCCGCCCACCCACCCGAATCTCAAATCTGATGAATTTTTCATTCGTTGTCAGACCGAGGGGAGGAGCTTAATTGTAAAATCGACGTTCCCAAAACAAAAATTTACCATTTTAAACGTTTTAAATATCTAAGCGTGAAAAGATGATTATATATCTAGAAAAAAGGCAAAATTTAAGCCCCGCCTGCCTACCGGCTGTATAAACCTTTCTTCCCTACTATGTCAACAATAACATAAGATGTTTCAGATGGTAGTTTTTTGTAGAGAAACAGAGATTTTGCAATTAAGCTCAGCCCTCTTGGCTCACGACGAATAAAAAAATCACCACAATTGAGATAGGGTGGGCGGGTGGGGCTTATACTTTGCCTCTTTTTCTTAATATATGCAGTCTTCTTTTCACAACAAGAAACTTAAAATATGTTTAAAACAGGAAATATGGATTTTGGAGTTACGCTCCGCCTCTCTGTTTGACAACCAATGGAAAATTCATCACGATTGATGTCCAGACGGATAGGTGGGGCTTATCGTTTAGGTTTATTGCTTAATAGAAGTAGTTTTCTTTGACCAATACGATCACTGAAGAACATGTTTCACATGGTAATTCTTGTAGAAAAATACGGATTTTGTAATTAAGCTCCGCCCTCTTTGACTCACGATGAACAAATAAAAATCGTTACAAATGAGACAGGGTGGGTGGGCAGGGTTTATATTTTCCATTTTTTTTCTTAATATACATAGTCTTCCCTTCACAACAAAAGACTGAAACATGCTTAAAATGCTAAATTTTGTCCCCAACACTTCTCTAGAAATTTACCCTTTTAAACATGTTTTTAATTTATTGTCGTGAAAAGAAAATACAAACCCCACCCACCCGCCCCTTTCACGATTGTAATGACTGTTTTTATTCGTCGTGAGCCGAGAGGCGGAGCTTAATTGCAAAATCGTTATTTCGGCACAAGAAACTGCCATGTGAAACATCATGTTGTTGAAAGAAAACAATATATGTCAAGAAAAAAGAAGTCAAAAATTAAGCCCCGCCCACCCACCCGAATCTCAAATGTGATGAATTTTTCATTCGTTGTCACACCGAGAGGCGGAGCTTAATTGTAAAATCGATGTTTCCCAAAAGAAAGATTTACTATTTTTAAACGTTTTAAATATGTTGACCTGAAAAGACCATTACATATATCTAGAAAAAAAGGCAAAATTCAAGCCCCGTCTACCAAACACCATCTTAATTGTAATGATGTTATTCCTTATGAGTCCGGGGGCGGAGTTTAATTGCAAAATCCTCATTTCAAATAAAAAGATAGCCCCACCCACCCACCCTTATCTTATATGTCATGAACTTTTCACTAAAATATGTTTTAAGTATTACATTGTTCAAAATATATCATTACCCCTACTAGGTATGGCAACAATAACAAAAGATGTTTCACATGGTAATTTTTTGTAGAGAAAGAAAGATTGTGTAATTAAGCTCCGCCCTCTTGACTCACGACGAATAAAAAAATCATCACAATTGAGATAGGGTGGGAGGGTGGGTGGGTTACTATACTTCTTTAGTTAACGCTTGATAAGTAAAATAATTTGAAAGCATTCATGTTTATATATCGGAAGAATGTCACGTAGAAGTTAATTTGATATGAATGTTATTATTATAATTCTTATTTAATCAGTATTAAATAAAGACGTTCGTATTTTCACATTTTCGAGAAAATGAGGTGACCGTGCTTAATTTAATCAAAATTAAA